GACTTTTCCTAACAGAGAACGAACATTGCTTGTTAAAATGAGAGGAATTTCCATTCGACTGGTGCTGCACTGTCTGAAAGCGACTTGCCAGCCTGCTCGATGCTTTCTCTTTCTGCCGTTTTGTGTTTTGATCATCCGCTTGAACTTATTTCTCACATCGTTGGAATATTTCACAAAAGGTGCAGTTCACGCGATAGCACAACGATTTCATGAACGTGCTCGCGTAGGATAGCATTTGGTGTCCTTGAATTGATAACAATGCGATTTGATGACAAATAAATCCACAAAAGTGTAAATATGATTTTCGAGATAAATGGCGCGGCCGAATTCAAAGGCCCCGCTTGGCTTTATTCCACCCACTACCTGCTTGAACGAACATTGCGCGCCGTGACAACCTATTTTCTAACATGCGTAACACAGGGCCCAACCACCGTAGTTTATGGAGGTTGACCACTTGCTACAGTGGACAACCGCCGTTACCTAAGACTCTGCGCCTAACCTCAGCATTGCTCGACCGGCTGCCCCATCAGATTCATGCAATGCTGCGTAGATAGTGGTGTTCAAACACCGACAGTCTATCATTAACCTGTTTTTTATTGGACAAGTTTCTGCGCCGTATACCAGAACTGGCCGAACTGATGCAGCATACACTCAACCCTTTACAGACAGCCAGATGTAGCGACGGCGCCACAGATGTCTCAAGTTGGCAAATGCCAATCGAGCCTTCTGTATGCGAGCTGGCACTTCATCCGTGATGCGTTCACTGGGTGCGATGTAGCTGCCCAAATAACAAAACTTATCCACTTGCTCTATTACTCCGCAGTTAGAGTGAGTCGGGTTGTTGGACCAACCCAGGCTCGTAGTAGCGTTTTACACGTTGAAGGTTGAAAACGTATACCGAACATAACGAACATGGCTACACTAGCACTCAAACTATTCAGAAAACCTTGCAACTTACCTGGATCTTCACCTAATAGCACAATGTCGTCTGCATACTCTAGATCAGACAGTCTATCACCTGGGAGTAAATCGATGTCGCTATTCTCGCAAGTCCACTGAGTCGATCATATTTAATTTTATTAATCTTTGCTTTGGCGATTCATGTGGCACCGTACTGTGTGTGTGTGTGTGTGTGTGACCCAACTGACTATCCTCTCGCCCTACTTTACTCATCCAAATATTCATTATCTAACCCGCCACTGCATGATGATGTCCAGTGTGATTGTGCAGCACCTAGATGTGAATTAGCATTCCATGTACGCACAGTTATGCAAGCTTTGTCTTGATCTGAACATCTACCCTAGACTCGAACGCATTTTTTAACTTGCACTCAATCAAGATAGTGTGTACAATTCTTAAACACCTAAGGAACTATTCACATTCGTATCATTTGTTCACCGAATTCGCGCGCACCATGCTCTGTTCTATTACATACCATCCGCCCAACCCACCCACCCACACCCCAACTCATCTCCGGGGTATACGCAAACGGGC